AATGTAACCCAACAGCTGGGTTAGTCCATATTTGACCCAAAGTTGGGTTGAAACAACCCAGCATTTTTTAGAGCGAAATATCAGTAAACCGGAAGTTTTTAAAACAAGCAGTTCATTCATAGATTTGTACGACCTTACGTTCACGCTGTGCAAATACAAGCGGAAGACAGAAGACAACAAGAGCAGCGCTGAAAAGGTGCGGAGCTACATAAGGTCTCTATCTACTTGAGCATAGGCAAAATATTGAAATTATTTGGGAAGGGAATTTTTGTTTAATTGAGGTAGCACATGGCACAGAGCATGTGATACCTCAAAAAAAAAAAAAAAAAAAGCCACAAATATCAATAGGACAAATGTAAGACTGTGTCCATTCAAAGATTTGGTGAGGTTGTTGTTAGTTTTTTTTGGTAGTGTGCACTGAAAGTTAATGCGAGATTTTGGCCTCAGTTATTAAACAGAAAAAGGCTTGAGCAAGAGTGAAGTTTGAACAAGAATAAATATTCGCCCTCGCCTACCATTGTTTACTATTTTTATTTATTTTCTACAATTTTCTATGGGATATTGTGTAACTTCTATCAGAACCCATTTTTTTTTTTTAATGTTTTGAAACTATAGTAGAGCTTTAGGATTTTTTTAAAAGAAAGATTTGATTATTTTCCTTGTTCTACAGAGACTATCAAAATTGGTATCATCCAAATATGTGTTATAGAAGATCAGGGGCCGGTTGCATAAACTGTTTAGACTAGTCTTAAAAATGTAGTCACCTACTTTTTTTTTTCTTCAAGACTGGTCATAACTTTTTTCATTCAGTTATGAAAAGGTTGATTGTTCTTATTTGTATTGGAAAAGTAAGACTGATTCTTGGCAACTGCTAGTTGGTCAAACTAGTTCTTAAGACACAGTCTTAACATGGTGGCTAAGTTTATGCAACTGGCCCCTACGTTTTAATTTTGTGTTGTACTTATAAAAAAAAAAAAATCCTGTTAGGATCCTTTGGTTCTAAATTAGTATAACAGGAATTCTGAAGAAAAAAAAAGATTTTGACTGAGGTATAATAACAGCAGTCAGACGTTAAGTATCCCGTCAAAGTGATTCAATAGAATAAAAGAAAGGCCCTTCACCAAAAAGCCGTCTGAAGTAACGATGCCATGGCATGATTGGACGTCGTCCAGCAGCATTTCAGTGAGCAGTTAGGACTAATCCCCATGACGTCACGAGCGGGTGGGGTGGGGGGAGCCTTCAGAAACACGAGAAGAGTCTCTTTCAGAGGAGCAAGTACCAACATGCCCGGACTGCAGGACTTCCAAGTAGATTGTAACAGTATTTACAAGTCGGAAATTGATCTTTAGCCACAGAGGAATGCGGCAACGATGCGTTAGAATCAAGAAC